ATTATCTCAGCCTAAATTATGGTCCTGAACAAAACTACCTGCCTTAATGGTGGGCAGAGGTATTTGAAAAATTCAGAATCCCCTTGTTTGCCCAGATTCTAATGTCCAAAGCACAAGGTTTGATCTATTTAAAGAAACATTTTATAGTGTTTTCATTATATACTATTGGGTTGTCGGAAAAGTCATGACGCATTTTTGCAACGAAAAACATAGAAAAAATACATCATGACTTTTCCGACAACCCAATATTTATTAACATACTTAATATTTTTTGCCTACAAAAGGTAAAAATGTGAAGCTTTGTGCTAAATGCCGCTTGCTTAGTGGAGCCTATATATGTGGGATTCTATGTCCGAAGAGAGAAATGATGATGTCTCTTTTTGATGTGTCTCAGTACTTTAGGCAAAAGGACTGGATTTTTAAAAGCAGTTTGAATTTCTTTCATATTGCTGGTGAAGCTTAGTATGTTCCAGAATTCAAGGAACCTGAATTGTGTGTGGATTCTTATTCGTTCATTCTCTCCATTTGTATCTTCCTCTATTCTCTCTCCCAAACCTGCTCCTCTGCCTAGACACTCCTGAAGAAAACCCTTATTTCCCTACGTACAAATTCCCTGATCTTCCTGCAATCCAGCAAAACTCTGAAGGTACCATAAACTTAGACAGCGTATCTGTTGTCCTAGCCTTAAATTAATTCTTATAGTTCCCTTATAGGAACGAGATTTGGCTTTCGATTGTTTTTGTAGTTGTTTCCGGTTGATGAAAACTTTATTCCACTCATTTGCATGATGTGCTATTATTAAAATACTAAGACCTTTCTAATTCATTAACCTATTTTTAAGTGCTCTGCCTGTGTGCTTTAATAACACTAAAATAGGTAATCGATCATTCAAAAGAGCCATGTGGGGATGTGTCAATTCCTCCACTTCATGGTGGAGAGTTTCAAAATCCACTGCTTTTCTCTGCTACAGAGGACAATCCTTACACTCCTACCTACCAGTTTCCTGCATCTACTCCTAGTCCTAAATCTGAAGGTAATTAAAGGAAAATCATGTGCCCCCTTTGTACCAGCGCTGTTACTTTCTTTTTCACCTTGGGGTTTTCCTGGTGGCTAAGAGCTGTCTCTCAATCATTTGCTTCCCTCTAACTTTGTGTTGTTTGGTGTTGTCTCCCTCCTCGCTGACTGTATAACCTGAGTGTCCAGATGGTGATTTAATCCTATTCCCTTGGAGTCTACATGATTCATAGGGTAGCCAGTGTAGCTTAGTTTTGATGCTTTGATCATGTGGGGCTCTGGAAAAAGTTGCCCGTTCCCAACTACCCAGGGCTTTGTGTTTGGGGAGATCACATGGTGCTGGCGACTGAGCAGTGTCTCCGGAGAGCTGAGTCACTACGGCTGGTAGGCAGGAGGTAGATGTGCCAGCTGTCAACAACAGAAAAATTAACCAGTTTCTATATGTACAACTGACTCATCACTAGGCCTCTCTTGTCATGGACCCTCGGGGTGTATCTCCTTGTTAGGGAATCCCCAAAGAGGTATTCAATATGAGATTCAGTCATGGTGTGAAATATGTTTTGAAAATAAGGGCTTTGGCCAAGCTGGAAAATATTTCATGAGAGAGCTGGCTAGGAATTTGGACCTGCTAGGGAAGACAGCCACATTTGTATCTAAGATATGTTCTTTTCTAGGGCAAAAAATCTAGGTGTCAAAGAACATTCTAAAAGGCAAGTTAAGGGCGGCATCCTGAGAATTATTCTAGTCCCGGGGATTCTCTGATCTTTGGATGAGTGACTTGAAAGAGGAGAGCGGATGGGATGTGCAGAAGGAAATTTCAGTAAGTGCTCTTCTAGGATGAGACGTTGAGGGCTCTGAACTTCATTCATTTAGGGAGTACTGAACACTTGCGTGTGCCGTGCGCGCTCCCTGGAACTGAGGCCAGAGCCATGAATAAGGTGTGTCCTCTGTTCTCAGCAGTCCACATGTGGCAGGGAGTTAAACAAGGCCACTTCATCGTACTATGTCCAGTGTGGTGGCACTTGCAAGAGCATGTGTCCAGAAGGCCACAGAAAACTTTGATGACACAGTAGGTCCTTAGTGCATACCTGGAGAATGTTGATAAGTGAAGGCTTTGGACCATGGAATCCGAGTGCTTTTCTAGGGATGAATCCCAGCGCGCTACCTTCTCAGTTCTCCTCTGTGCTCACTAGGTCAGCAAACCACCCCACACATCCCTTCTCATCATTAGTAAAGTCATCCGTTCAATCATTCACCAAACTTTTACTCATCACTTAACATAGATGATACACTGGGTTGTGTTAGATACAGTTTTGGTGAAAATATTGTATTCTCCCCGTTATGCGCTAGTCTTTGGCTTCCAACCATCTCATGCCTGGGGCCTATTTTGAATGAAAAGAAAAGTCTAGCAAACAAACAAAAACAGACTTAAAAATGAAAAGCTGATGATTTAATTTTAATCAATGACCTCCTCACTGCCAACAAGAGTTTATTTGGTGGGAGATAAATTTTTATCTCGATATTTTTATCTCAAGATATTTTTATCTCGAGGTGCTGATTCTAGCCAAAAGCATTGCTGAAGAAACAACTGAGTTGGACAAGGGAGTTTTTTCAGGGTAATTTTGACTAAATGCAGTTTTTAATTTGTGCTTTATTTGGACTTGCGAACCCAACCCATTCAATAAGGTAGGGTTCCCTTCCATGGACGATAACAAGTGCACAGCACGCCTGAAGTCCTATTAACCCATAGATGTGGGCAGAGGAAGGCCGCCTGGGGAAGTCCTGTGGAGACAGTGACTTCCATTGGACGGGAAGAACACCGTAGGCCTGTCATAGGCAGGCAGCACCAGCACATGTCACCGTCAGCTTGGCTGTTGATCTCAAGACAGGGTTTCACAGCTTCACACCCAGAGCTGCCACATCACCGGCTGCCACACCTAGCAGCACTGGCTGATGATGATGTCTGCTTTCTGGTGCACGGCAAGTCAGGCATGAGAGGGAACTGGGGTTATTTTGCCTAAAGGCATAAACCGCGAGGGATGGCATGATAACTTTTCACCTGTAATTTAGGAAGCAGCCCTTACTGTTTTTTATTTTCAAAGACCGAAAAGGAAGACATAGTCGTACAGGATAAAAATGAAAAATTATACATTGCACATAAAAAATTCATAACACCCAATATGATTAACCTTTAACACAAGTTTCTAAGAAGTCTTCTTCCCTAGAGATCTTTGAAAAATAGGTAGATTTGAAGGGAAGGGGGTTGGGGACCTGGGTGAGAAAAGTGAAGGGATTAAGAAGTACAAATTGGTAGTTACAAAATAGTCATGGGGATGTAAAGTAAAGCATAGAGAATATAGTCAATAATATGGTATAGTATAGTGCTAGGTGGGTACTAGACTAATTGGGGGGACCACTACATAAATTATATAAATGTCTAACCACTATGCTCTACACCTGAAACTAATATAAAATAATATTGAATGTCAACTGTAACTGAAAAAAAAATAATTAAAAAAAGAAAAAAAAATAGGGTGGGTTTCATCTGTTGCCCATGCTTCTGCTTAGATAACAGACTCAGACATAGATAGAAGATGTATTCGATTAGATGAAGAATTTTTACAAATGAGTGAAACGTTTGAGCTGGATCACTTTAAAGAATTGTTATTTTCATTTTCATTTTGTTAACTACTAAGACGTTCTCTGGCTTGTGGTTTTGATGTCTGTGAGCCCCAGTGGGCCCTCCTCACCCCTGCCCTCTGTATGGTCCAGCCCTGTGCCCCTATAGGTGGTCCTGGGCTCCGCACACCCTTTTTCACTTGGGAAAGATTTAGGCCTTTCAAAGACAGGTGTTATAGACAGGTTAGCACCTAACTGAGGCTCTACCCAAGGTTTGTAATGAGCATTAAAAACCAGACAGCTTTACTGAGGAATGTGAGCCATCATCCCAGAGTCTGTCCCCTGGGGAGGAGACGGTTGTTGCTGCTGGTTTTTTGGTTTTGTTTGCATTCAGAATTTGAAACTAGAATTACTTGCAATAAACCTATCAAAACCTAGCCTAAGGGCTGCTGCCTCTTTCTAATTCTGGTTGTTTATACAGTATAAAAAAAGACATTACTAAGTGGCTCAACGCTGATTCTCCTAAATAGTGCAAGTTTGTTTATGCTGGCTTAGCAGTTTTCTTCTGGCCAGACTTTCAGAAGATAAATAGAATTAGCATGTCTTAATCAACAAAGTTTAAAATGTACTTTAAAAAAAAAACCCTGTAAATTCCAACAAGGAGCAGTCACTTCTGGTCGCTTTATAATCTTTGAGAGCACTCTATGGGACAGGGACCATGTTATGTGTAATCACTCTTTGTTCCCTGAGGTAGCTGGGAGGAGTTGGAGCTAGGAAATTTGGGAAGAGTAGAATGAAATCAGGAGCCATATTTCTTGGTCATTAGAAAACTTAACGAAAATAAAGATAATTTAGCAGAAATCCTTTGGGAATAACTTTCAAGGAAAGCTAAGCAAATGAGTTTTACTTTCTTTTTTTTTTTTTTTAACTTTCACTTGACCCACCTACCCCTCCCCGTCATTCCTTCTTCTCTGACCCGAAGCCGCTTGTCTGGGAATGACACTCCATTCTCTCACTTAAAAGCAAAGGTCCTTTCCTTGCCACGAAGTCAAAAAGATTGTTGGGGTCAGGGGTGGGGATGATGATGGAGAACAGCACCAGCCCCCACCCACTGCTGCACCCTGACCATGGCGGGGCTGCCAGGAGGAGTCTTCAGACATCCTGCCCATGGTTTCCTCCGGAAGCCGGAGCGAGAGGAACAGCTGTGGAGAAGCAGCTTCAGAAACGCTGCCACTGCCTCTTCCCCACCCCTCCCTGCTGTTTTAGGAAAGAGCAGTGTGGTGGCCATCACCTCAGCAGCTCGTAATAATAATAATAATAATAATAATAATAATAATAATGGCATAGCCACTGTACTGACTGTGCCTCACTGCCCTTTATTGAGCCCTTACTAAATACAAGGCTCTGTGCCGAGTGTATCACAACTGTTATGTCAATTTCATTCTTCCATCAACCTCATGAGATCCGTCCTCATTTTATCAATAAAGAGTGTGCGCTCAGAAAGGTTAAGCAATTTGTGCAAGATCACACAGTAAGTTGCAGAGCGAGAATTCAAACCCAGGTCTCTGGGGTCCCAACACATGGACTTGTACTTACTCTTATCTACTGCTCTGCTGATTCCTACTCCTGTCCCGCTACATTCTGTGTTTTTAGTCGGCTCCCTTGCCACAGGCTTTTCGATGTGTAACTCCAGGTGTCCAGGTTGGCCTGCTTCTAAATGAGTCATGTTTCACTCGTCTGAGCCAGGGTCTCCTCAGATGATGTCTGGGAGCATGAAGTTAGGAAAACCTCCCGAGTGATTTGACACATGGGCAGGACTGAGAACTAGTGGAATGGAGGAATATCACCTTTCCCACCCTCCAAAAAAAGGAAGAAGATACTTGCCGGTGCAATTTTGAAGATTTGGATATAGAATTAGCATGGGGAATATAGATTTAGAAGTTTCATTCAAGAAAATGGAAGATACTTTCAAATGATGCCTTCAAGTCAGCAGCAAAACCAAGTAACTGGTGTGTTACGTTGGAGTCCATGGCCTGTGAGGACCCAGTAGGCCATGACAGGATGAAGCGCTATCATATCAGGCAGGGGTGAAGTCCCAGTGGCCAGCCGTGCCCCTGGCTTTGGGATGTCTCTACCACCACTTTCAGGCTGATGGTGGCCACTGCCACCTCCTGGTGAAGTGACTTAAGACACCATCCCCGAGGCGTCCCCAGATTGCGGTGACATATCATGTCATAATGATCTGTCTCATTGAGCATTTTTACTCATTTCTAGATGAGGATACACTAAGGCAAGGACTTACAAAGCTAATTTTCCCAGGCACATCTACATTTGAGTTAAAATAACCCGCTACTGGCCCTACAGGATTTCTAAGAATAGCCTTATTTTGCTTGAGTTCAAGCAAATAGTTCTATTGTGAAGATGACTGGCCAGGATCTGTGCCTCTTGCCCCAAACTCCAGCGAGAACTGCCCAGAGGAGGGGCTGAGCTGCTCACAGCCGTCACCTTTGCTCTCCTAACGAGAGCTGCCCAGAAGGTCCCTGCCTAGCGAGTGCAGAAGTCTGACTGACTGACCTGCAAGATAGTTGAGGCCGTAGCAGGACTCCCTTCCCACCTTCAAGGGCCAGAAATGCCACAGGAGATGAGGTCGGTGAGTCTATTTCCAGCTTTTCCGCCTTTCTGTCCTTTCCTGCTCAACCTTATTCTTTTGTCCTTCAGATTCTTTTTTTTTTTCTTCAAAATTTATCTTCTGTAGCTTTTCTGCACCCTGTATTGACCATTTTTGCATCCTTTAAATTTTGATTGCCATTAACTAGAACATAGACAGTTTTGGGAATCCTCCCCCAAGCTCCCTGGACTATTCCCGACCGCCTTGCCCTGTTTCCTCTTTTGTGTCTTCTTCCTCTCCGGTCACACGGAGACTTTGTCACCCACCTCTGTATAGGTCTCTCTTTTTCTTGGAATATTTTTGGTTTTGGTGTGTGCATGTCTCTATCTTGACCCCTTTATCCTTTCTTGTCCTAAGTCTATGGGGTAAAGCAGGAGAAGGAATTAATTTGAACAGTGGGAAAAGATGGTACTAAAAATGAGCCATTGATATTGAAAAATAATTTTAAGTTTAGAGGCCTAAGAAATGCATAAAATGGAAACTTAATTGATATAGACAAGTGATTATGCAAATACTGCTTTGTGCTCATCATTCCATTTTGGTCAATTACATACTTTTTATAGAACAATCATTCTCAACCAGCACTTTCCAGTGCCTTTAAGATTGTCATTAATTCTAAAAAGCAGTCTTTTTTTAGAAGTTCATTTTTAAAGTCACCGGGCTTGAAAAGGCAATTATGTGCCTCCTGGCAGTTTTAAGAGAATCACTGTTCCCAAAGAGCCTCCACAAACAGATTGCCAAAGCCCAGGGCGGAATTGTTGGCGTGTGAACATCAGAGCCCAGCAGGGGCCTTCAGGGCCCTGAAGTGAGTTGTTCTCCCTGAGCAAATCCTCCTTAGTGTTAGAGCTTCCTGGAAGTCACTGGCTCAGGAAGTTCTGAGCGTTGCTGCCAAGGTGTGACGTGAGGGGCACAATCAGCGTGTGGCACCACGAGCAGAAATCACAAGATTCCGGCTCAGCTGAGCCCACTATGGCCTTGTTTGAGAGCGCCCTTGGAAAACCAGTAAAGGCAGGATTTCAGACACTGACAATGTCTGTTCATAGACAACTTGAGAAATTTCATTTAATGTGCCTTAACTGTGGTTAAATTCTCTCTCTCCCGCTGTCTCCCCTCTCACCCCAAATTTGGCTACCTCTAGTGTGTAGAAATACAGGCAGGTGGTCCTTATACCCCATGTTCCCCCATTCAGTGGTATTTCTGACTTCATGCCCATCTACCCCAGTGTGGACTTAGCCTGCCCGGAGAGGATAGTAAGAAGCAGCAAGTGGCAAGAAGATGTAGCAAGAGTGACTCCGTTGTCCCTGGAGACCAGCAGGAGGACAACTCGAAGTGTTGTGGGGTGACTCAGAAAACTTGCTTAAGTGTCACTAGGGAGGGGGTGATGCTGAAAAGCAGAGCAAAGGCTTCAAGGGCTGGGAGGCCATCTGGCCAGCACTGAGTAGCACCCTCCCCTGTCACTTGCATAATATAAATTATAATGGAATTATAATATTCCTCCCAGGATTGGGCAGCTGAGGGTGGGATGAACCAACAGAACAAAGCACCCATCCCTATCACAGGGCTTCCAGGCACTTAGGGAAGTGGAGTCAGAAAGGCCTTGGCTAAAGGCAAATTTTCTTAACCTTCCTAGACCTTAATTCCCCTTGTCTGTAAAATGAGATATTTATCTCCTAGAGTTTTTTTGCAAGGATTGAGATAATATTAGTAAATTACTGGCTACTGTTAGGCACTTAGTAATAGGAGCTGGTATTATTTTTATTCATAAATGTAGGTAAAATCTTCCATTAGACTTGCAAGATAAGCATACAAATTAAAAGAATAAATTATGCTGTTCAGAGGAATCCATACAACTTCAGTATGCCCTCTGAAATGTCCAATGAATTGAAAGCCACATGTCAGACTCAGATCCCGTCGACACTGCAAGGAATGAAAAGCTTGTTCACTCAGAGACGCCCCTGCCCTGTGTTAGCCTTGGATAGGTAAGGTTTCTTTTTCCACCTTCACCAAATAAGAAAGCTTCAAGAACATTCAATCAGATCCTTCACTACCACCCTCCCCCATCTTTCCTACTTCTGCTTTTATAAGAACTATTTCTCATTTTCTTTTAACAAATCTTCTAGAATTCCACATTAGAAAGCTCTAGGAAGAAAAAAAAAATTTTATTTTTTTTTTTAAAGATTTTATTGTGGAATTGGGGGAGGGGAACAGACAAGTTGCTGTCCTTTTGTTCTTCAGTCTAGTTGTGGAGGACGTCATTTCACTGGCCCATGTTGGTATTATCATTGCGCTCTTCCTGGTTGAGGCAGATCAGTTGTCGGCCACTGGACAGCCCCTCATGGCGGCTCTTGGCAGCTCACGTCAGCTGCCAGCGACTCACAGTAGCTTCACAGCAGCCTGCTGCCACCCCACTGCAGCCTACGCCGGCAGCCCAGCTCCAGGTCGAGCTGTTGCTCACCATCTTAGCTGTAGAGGGTGCAGCGTCACTGACCCTCATGTGGGATCTGAACCGGGGTCCTGCTGCTCAGAGCTGGCGTCCCAAGCCAGCTCTTAACCAACGCGCCACTCGGCAAGCCCAGAAGAAAAAAATTTTTAAGAGCTCAGGCTTAAAAAAAAAAAATTCTTTGAATATTTGAATGCCTTTATTCTCCCCATTTGCTTCTTACCTCAAGAGTCAGGTAATAATAGTTAGAAATTAACCCTCACCTTACCGTCTGCTGTTAGGCTGTAATTTCTCCATGATTCAGAGAGATACAGGTTTTGACCTCAATTGCTAAGCTGGATTTTCAGCACTATGGATACTGGTTCCTAACTACGCTAATTTTTCATTTGGTAGGCGCCATTTTTTTTATCAAAGTCCTGCAATCAAAGTTGATTTTTAATTTTTAACATTGTGGCATTTTATCAGTACATTAATCAGAAGTTCTGTTTGTTTTTTTAAAAAGACAATCCAAAATTCTTCAGAGCAGTACTTCAAAATATGTATTTCTGGATCCTATTTTATCTCTTCTGCCCTATGTTCAGAAGTTAAATAAGCTTACATACTCAGATTATAGCAGGGCAAGGCTTGGCCGTGTTGGTAGAAGAACCTTAAGCCCTGTTCAACTTTGATATTGACAAATCCTGTCCTTGAAGCAAAAAGAGGGAGAGATGCGGGCAGAAGGAGGAAAAGATAACTTGGTACCTAATGCCTTTCCTTTATTTGGGCTGGGGGAGGCCTGGGACAGATAAAAATGGGGAGAGGCAGGAGAATAAGAAGAGGAGCTAGAGAGACTGACTTTGAATCAGACCTTATTCAAAGTAGTAGCAGTGTTAGCTTTATTTACATTTCACACCATATTCTGAGCTTTACTGCTCCACAACTTAAAATGATTTACATAGAGACAAGGACTTGATTAACACTTAGTCATTAATATTTCCTGGATTCTTTGACTTGTCTTTCCAGGTTAGTTCATGTGCTTTGTTAAAGTTACTACAGATCTTAAGAGAAGGAGTTAGGTCTTCAGTTCATATTCATGAATCCAGGTTAGCAAGATACCAGAAAGTGGGAAAGGCTGACTGTTTCAGCCTAACTCTTGTTGGAGAAATACTTTGGAGGGATCATTGTGAATATAGTGACTCATCCCCTACATGTACCTGTAGTCTGTTTTAGTTCAGTGCAGCGACTCGCATGAGGGGTTCAGATCTTGTATCGGTTCTGCAAGTCATGGAGCTCAGTGTTGATTATTTAAGGGTGTATGTCATGCCCTCGAAGAGCCATCTCACACTACAGAAACCCATGTGAGTTTGATTTGTTCCAGAAGAACAATTTCAACGCTTACTCCGAGCAGTACCTTTGCAGAGCAAACCATGTAACCGCATCTGCCATGGGTATGTTGTGTTCCAAGGGAAAGAACGCTACTCGAGGAACCAGGTTGAGGTGGAATCAAAACAAATGATTATGAGGATTTTCTCAAACTATTTTCTTAGCTACACCACCTGTTATACAGTTAAATGATACTGTATAGGGAGTGTT